CTTGGATTGGGTTTTGTTATTTTTGTCAAATTTAATTTTGTTTCCTCGAAATTACTGCAAAAGATAAGAATTAGAAGGTTATTAATGAACCTTATATGATAAGGTTAACAAATTAAAAGGTATAACATTCCAATATATAGAATGTATGTCGCATCAAAACATGTATAGAAGTTATAACTGAAAACAGACCAAAGTCATTGGGGCAGAAAGGAAATTTGAAGCTCAAATTAGACATTGACCATGAAAAGTAATGGTCACCCTTTTGAGTTAATTGTCTAATATTTTAGTCAGCATATGGAAAACAATGTCAACATGTCGTTCGTAACACGTTACGTAAAGCATGCGGCATTACTCTTCGGTTGAAGATTTTACACCAAATCCTTGGAAAATTTTGATGCATGCCGTAGACTTTCGAACCTGATTCGTTCTTATCATACACCTTTCGTTCGGCTTTCTTTATTCATCCGCTAACGCACTAATAAGCTTTTATCAAAATTAAATTGGACAAGTAATTAAGGAACACGAATTGGTAAACAATGTTAGGAGTACTTTTAAAGTCAAACTCATTAAAGGAAAACCAAGACTAGCTAGCTTTTAAAGTACCTGCTCTCTTAAAAAGTTTATTATTCTAAACCCAATGAGCAAACTTTTCTTACATCTGACATTAACAAAGCTAAAACTAGAGGAAGGTTCTTTTTTTCAGAGTAAGATGAGAGATATATATTGAGTTAAACACCGCACCCTCCATTGGCCTCCATTGAAGAGAAAGCCACACTATGGGTCGGGAAGATGATGATGAGGGCAGAAAATTTGGTGTCAGCCGCAAGATCATGCTCGCGGCAATCGGCTCTTTACTAGGAGTTGTCATGCTCATAATCTTGCTCCATATATATGCAAGGTATCTTTTGAGACGCCAAGAAAGGAGACGCCGTGCTGCCCTTATTTATTCCCAGAGAACTCAAGTTACACCGATTGATGAAATTAGTGCCATCAACGAGCCACCCAAGTCATCAGGGCTCGACCCGTTGGTCATAGCCTCGTTGCCGACGTTCACATACAGGCTAACAGCCAGTAGCCAGATCGATGATCATGATGAGCCCACAGAGTGCTCGGTTTGCTTGGGAAACATCACGGACGAGTCTACAGTCAGGCTTTTACCAAATTGTAAGCACATGTTTCATGTGGAGTGTATAGATACGTGGCTTGGCTCACACACAACTTGCCCCATATGTCGCACCGTGGCTGAGCCAGCGGTCCAGCCGGAGGACATGGAGTCGGGCACCAGGGTGCAACCCACGGCACCCCCTATAGAGGAAAACGCGTTCCATAGTGCGGCCCAAGTGGCAAAGGAAGGTGAACCATCATCGTCGTCATCATCAGGGTCACGATTTGGTTCCTTTAGAAGGATGCTTGGTCGGGATCGATCGTCAAGTAGGATTACTCATAGTTGTGGAGATGAAGTTGGCACTGAAGATTTAGAGAGGCGATGATGGGAAAAATCATTTTATAATTTTTCTTGAAAATATTGTCTGTTTTTTTTTGGTATTTAATTATTAATGCTATATTTAACTATGTTATTTTGCACTCATCATCAGTATTTTGAGTGATTAATTTTGTTATTTAGTACTGTTTTATATTAGATTCAGAATTACGTCGTGTGCAAAGCGTATATGCAGCAATAAGATTGAAAAATCTAGGCATGAGTTTTGTAAATATTTTTTGTGAATCCAATGCAATAATAATAATACTTTTTTTGTACAGTTGAATTATGTCAAAATTACGTCATAATTTTTACAAAATTGAGTTTGTGATATTAAAATTCTCATAAAAAATATATATTTGAAATGCTACGGCAGTGGTGTAATAAATTTGTTTGAACCAACTGCTCATTCTTAACAATATTATATAAGAAACGAAGTAATCTATATAGCTTGATTAATTCCAAGACAAAAAGATTTATCTTGATAATTAATTGGTGCATGCATCGACAAATTAAGGCTGCGAATCTTAAAAGATGATGGACACTTTAATTTGTGCTGAATGTGGACAAGGGGTTAATACTTTAATTGTTTCTTTTTCATTGTATTTATTTGTATACAGACGCACTACAAGTTTTGATGGTTCATGTTCTTATATATGGACCGACAAAGTCAATAATTCAACAACCAATTTTTAATCTAATAATAATAAATTACTATATCTTTGAGAGAGAAATTCAAAGCTAATGCTATTTTTTTTCTTAGAAAATAAAATTTGGTTAACAGGTTCTAACCGAATTTCAATACGTTATAGTCAAAATAATCCAAATTTCAATAAAATTTTCTCTGCCTATAATTATTATCCTAAACACCGTTCATTAAATTTTTAAAATTCTCAAATAAGGTTAAAGGATTATCATATATTAGGATATATTTTTTAAAAAATAAATTAACTAATATAATAAATAAAAAGATATGTGATAATATTTTAATTCTGCTTGGGAGTTTTTTATTAATAGTCATTTTATTTATTTGTTTTTTATGCAAGTAAAATAAAAGGGAAAATTTGTTAAACTAATAAGAGACCTAGTTACACCTATTCTATTGATAAAGAACAAAGATTGAATATATTATTCGGAGGATGTTAAATAAATACACAATCTAAGTAAGACATCATCAAAGTGAGTAATCAATGAATTGGCATATTAATTCCCTTGACTATGTATACGGGAGTTTCATGCCTTTAAATGGTTTTACAGTAAAGCTCTCTAATAATATTAATAAACCAGTGTATAAGGATCTAGATATATATGATTTATCTTTTGATTAATGGAAATTAAAGAATTCCACTTCAATGTAATTTGTGGAAAGCTCCGCTCTCAGCACAAAGAAGCCCATCATGTATATCGCCCACGTTTAAGCCAGTAGTGTAGTCAAAATGGTACCCCATCACCATTTGTTTCTCTCAAAATATACCACCTGCAGCCTAGTCTCCAAGCTGACATCAAGCATTGAGCGGGCCGGTGACCAACTTTTATCAATTTCCGGCACCTAATTTTACCAGGACCTTTTTGCATGATTAAACATGTCTTATTAGCAGCTTGGACAGGCCAAGTGAAATCTTGATCATGCAAGTGCCAAATGAGATAAGCTCCATGCACAAAAAATCACACTAGGCCAAGCTAGATTACTCTCCTTATACCACCAAGGAGGCCATTGCTAGACCAGAAAATACTAGTTCGAAGAGTCATTGGAAATTTGGAATCAAGTATGCAGCTGATGATCATCAAATAAACTATATCTTATCATAAGGAGGAATAACTTCGAACAAAACCCATGTTCATTAGAAATGGCATTGGAAAATAGAACTTAGAAGATAATTATTTGGGCGAGAGATGAGTCAATGGATCAAGTTATTGAATAGACTAAAAGATTATATACAGGGCAGAAATTTCAAGGATAGTGTGATATAAAAAGGAACTAAAAAAGTGTGGTTTACTCATCAAAATCCTTATGCAGGATAGTTCTTGAGGGTGAGAATGAGAGGGATGGGATTTGGCAACACATTAGGGGGTCTAACACCACATAGAGTGGAAGTATTTGCTTGGAAGTTTATGAGTAAGGTAGTTGTCAAGAGTGAACAAGCCGAATAAGGTGTGTAGTAAGTGAAAATTGTTGGTGCAAATGAGGTTTATATGAAATGCAAAGAGAATTAGTAAAATTGACTTCAAAGCATGCTCTTGAAGACATTATCTTTAAAACTTATTTCATCCGCACTTCTTGGTATACAAAAAAAGAATTATGCGACTAGTTTTATGAATATAATGAAACGAACATCTAATTTCGTTTTGCATTTACAAGAATAAACTACTGAACATATCTAAAGATTGCAAAGTTGTTTAACTTTAAAACCTACTTTCTATAACATTGTATCTTTATAATCCGTTAAATTATAAAAAATTAGACACTTTTCGGTAAATAGTGGGCACTCAAATTTATGTCTTTTTCTAAATTTTCATTCAGTTCATAGTACTTCTTTTGCTCTTGTATTGTTAATTTGTTTTGTTTTGTTAAAATGATTACTAGCAAGTCATAGGCTTGTAAATGTTTCTTCTTTAAGGACATAACCCTTTTATTAAGGTAGCTCTATGCCTTAAACACACATTTGCATGTTATAAGATATAAACTTTGGAAAAAGGTATTGTTTCTATAATTAACTTATAAAAGGACAACCATTAATGCTATAAGATATAACTTTTGAATAATAATATGAAAAGATAAGTATTTATATCATAGCTTTTGAATAGTGGTGTTTTAAAATTATCTCATAACTTTTGGATTTAAAAGTGTTTTTCCAAATGCCACTTTATCAATAGACATAACATTTCATACGAAAAATCATCTACAATCCAATAATCACATTATATGACATAACTTTTCAATTAATGTGTCTTTTAAATAGTTATAATTTTTCATATGAAAAGACGTAACTTTTTATTTACAAATTGTCATTTATAACTTTTTATAAGAATAAATATAACTTTTCATTTTGAAAATATACCAACAAAAATTACCAAATTTGTTTGCTAAGTAAGCTTGACTAGGAAAAAGTTGCACAATTATTTTTCACGTGCTATGAATCTTGGAGGATTTGGAACTTGTGGTGTCAAGAATGGAGCATCTCGTCGGTTGGTCACAATGAGCTCGAGACTTTTTTATTATCTTGGAATGTCATGTAATTACAAAACGAAGCTAAACGGGTTCGGAGAATGGCTTTCTTTGCCATTATCTGGTCACTTTGATTATTCCGCAATGACATGGTGTTCTAAGGTAAAAATTGGGATGTATAGCAAGGGTTTGAGCTAGTAAAGTTGAGAGTGAATAGCGAGATCGGCAAAAGTAAAATGGTCGGAAGTGATATGTTGGTATCGAAAATGAATAAAGTTACACGACCTAATTTTACGCGAGAGCCTCCTCTAATAGATTTTGTGAAAGTCAACATGGATGGTGCTGCATCTAGTGAAACAAGCAAAGCAAACATTGGAGGATTGCTAAGAGATGTTGATGGTAGAATTAAAGCTTTGTTTTACAAGTCAATTGGAATTTATGATTCAAATTTAGTTCCAATTCTAACTATTAGAAAAAAACATTTTTTATTTTTGCAGCCTCAGAGTGGAATCAGTCTTTCTGTCTTCGCAAATTATTGATGGTAAGTGACTCTACAAATGCAATGTTATGGACTAATATCCATAATAAAGCTCTTTGGAGATTGAGGAAATGACTACTACACTTAAAGCATCTTAAAGCACAGGTGGTGAATTGGAAGGTAGCACATATTTTCAGAAATGCCAATATAGATGCTAATCAATTGACAAAAGCAGAGGTAAATGGAGACTTGAATTTATTGCAAACTTTTAATTTAAGTGTGTTTATTGCAGAAATTGAGTAATTTGGTGAAATTTGATATTCGGCCTATGGAACTTGATATCCCTAAATTTTGTTCCTTAGCTTTTTTGAGTTACTTGTTTTTGTATTTTCAATAAGCCAAGTTATGACCTTTGAGCTAGTCTCTATTAAATGAATAAAAGTTCAATACTTTTCAAAAAAAAATTCCATTTTCATTATCTTTTTTGGCAATTTTTTTAAATTGCTTTCCACAACTAAATGCAAATCTTTATTATAAATCCCTTGATATTAATTAATTATATCAATTAATAGCAGATCTTATTGCAATTACTTTTCTTTTAGAAAAAAAAACTTAGAAAAAGAATGCTTAAATCTCTTTGAATCAATTTGAGTTTTCATTGAATTGGTAAATTTAAATGTTTTCAACTAGTTACAGCTAGTTGTCATACACTCATTTTCTAGGATGTGATAGTTTTGACCCTTCTTTTAGCTTCAAAATTAACCATGCAAAGAAATTTGGTGATGGAGGCATCAATATGCCTAGCTTCAGACTGAATCAATTAGTCCCATTTAAAATAAAGAATACTCATAAATAGAACTTATATTTAGTTAATCCCAACAGCTTAAAACTATGCCCTGTCTGCATCTCACACATTCAATTAAAAGACCTTCATGATGGTGTGAAGATCCTCTTCATAATGACATAAGATAATGCTCTCATAACCCATGTGACCAACATTTTTGTTACTTGCCAAAATTTTCAAACCTGCCCCTATTATTGCACATTTAAATTTAATGAGAACAAACAAGTAAAGGAACAAATTAAAAGATTTTAGGCAAACATACTAAATTTACATTGATTTCCCAAAGAAAGATTTTGCTTTTAAAAGGCAGTGAAGTTTGAATCTAGTTGTCAAATCTTTTTCTTCCCTCACTCTTTATTTGCTCACATTAATTAATTAATTAGGTTTTGTTTTTTTAACATCTGGATGCTTTTTCATTAAGTTTTCCAGCCTGGAGATTTCTTTCCCTCTTTCATTTATTACCACAATTTACCCATATCTTTCCCATGATTAGTGAGGCCAGCTTTCCTTAATTCGTTGTTTGTATGGTGATTATTCTTCATGGTAGGTGACGTAAATCTTATAGTACAGTACTATAGTCGGTAACATTTTTTTTGCTCTATTTACAAATATAGTTATCTAATTAATTTGTCACGATTGAGAAACTGAATGTAGAGAAATATGGTAAAGCGTATGAATATTTCAAGTGCCATATGAAACCCAAATCCCTGTTATTTCTCTGTACAGACTTGGTCGATGGCTGAATCGGTATGGGAATTTTCCATGCAGGCAAACATACCCTGAACTTGGAAGTAAAGGCTTAGTTTCCAGGTTACAAACACCTGGCAAAAAAGTGGGGTCTACGTCCTAAACCAAAAGTAGAGAATGTCTTATTTGTCAGTGGGGCCCATAACAAACTCCTTAAATTCCATGCAAATATGTTACTCTAGTTGGCATTTAAAGACCCCCAACAACTGCCTATAGAAATGGCAAAGATTTTCAGAGATTTTGAGACACATATGGACTTCATGAACAATAAGACCAGCAGCAAGTCTTTTGGACAGTTTCATGTTTCAGACTGACAAAAGGGAAAGAAAAGTTTTTTTAAATTGAGGGGCATTGATTTCGATGATTGCTAGGTTTAATTTTATTTTATCTATTTATTTTCTTTCTCGATCGGACAAACAAATCATTTTTCTCAGAAAATCTCGGAAACTTCTTATCTTTCTCCTTTGACATTGTTTTCCTTTTTCTTCTCTTTGCAAGATCTTATTAGCTGCTAAAACATGGGCGGACTTTCCTTAATGCTACTTCTTCATTACGCATAGGTAGCCGCTTTCAACTCTCCACATCCTTTGAGATTTCATTTCCTTACATGCCGGTTTTATTGAATCATTTTTGTTTCTTCTTTTAGATTTGTGATCTTGAAAATGGGATTTTCTGCTATTTTCATTTGCTTCGTATTTGTTATTTAAGTGTTTAGATTTATGGCCTTTTAATGCATTAGACACAGGGGAATCAAACGAGAAGGAAGGAAAACGAGAACGATGTGCAGCAACAGTGCAAGCAACAGCGTTGGTGGTCGTGCGGTTGCCAGTGCCAGTGGCGTGGGTGATCATCATGACTTTGCAAGTTCCAGTATAAGGAAGGCGAAGAAACAAAGGATCCCCAAAAGAGGGCCTGGAGTGGCTGAACTAGAAAAGATTTTGCGAGAACAAGAGCAAAAAGATGGTGCAGGACAGATAATTGGAGGGATCTCTTCATCCTTACTCCTATCACTTCCCAATACTTATCCTCCTCCTCATTCTTCTTTTGTCTCTTCCTCAAATCCTTTTCCAAGAAACGTTACTTTTCTTCCTGATCATAATCATCTCGGCAACGCTCCTGGTGCTCCATCTCTTCCTCCAGTGGCAGCCCTGTCTGGTACCATTAATGGTAACGGCTATGATAATCTTAAGGGTAGGTTACGGATAGGAGGTGGAAGTGTGGGTGGTAATGGTCGTAGTAAAGAAGTCTATATTGGCGGATCAGGCGTATATCTGCCCGAACAAACCTTATTGCCAATAACGTGGGGCTCCACTGAGACAAGGAAAGGCCAGGAAGCTCCTGAAATGGCTGCTGATTTTTCATTTCCTAGACTTGTTTCAAAGGGATCTGATCGTCACAATCCCCCTCGCATGTTGCAAAAGACCAATACCCCTTGCCATCCTTCAATGGTAAAAACAAAGCTTCGAATGTCTCTTTTCTTTTTGTATTTAATTCGTGATCATTTCTAGTACTTTGTTTTATTTTTTAAGATTGGCCCACATGCATGCAAACAGGTGAATTTTTTTCCGCGGTCAGCAGCATCGTCTCCATCAACCCCACCATCATCATCTGCAGGGGTGTATCATCATGTAGAGCCCCCTTCAAACCAAAAATCTTGTCTCAACTACACATGTATATTGCCAGAGGAAGACAAGGCATGTGCAAATTTACCGTTTTATTTTTATTTATGTTTGTCTTAACATATGGTTCTCCATAATTTCCTTGATTTTTTCAATGAATCAGAAAATCTGCTACAGGTTTCTTGCCTTTGCTTTTTCTGTTAAATACATGTAACTCACGTTTTTTGTGCTGGTTTCTTCACCCATTTCGATGTGGATTCTGTTCTTTTTGCATCTCTTTAAGGAGGCATTACAAATGTACGCAAAGAAGATAATTAAACTAACATTTCACATGCTAGATATATTATCATTAGTTCTCAAGAAAAGTAATAGTCTAATACTATTGGATACAGTTGAAACTAGAACTTGTTCGAGTGTAACTGCTCGGGAATTCGATTCCTTTCCTGAAACTCTATATTTAGGCCTCCGATCTGATGATTTTATTTTATTGATTGAAAAGGTAGAGCAACTGCGAGTATGGAGTCCTTTCTAATCTCAAATTTATTTATTTGTAATTATCAGGTGATTGGCGTCAAGCGGCCAAGGCCAAATTTCCCTGTCGACAACTGGCTGCCAGCTCCTCCTTCGTTGCCCTATCAACTTCCCCAATCCCACCCTCACATTCCCAGGCTTGGTCCTTCAATATCTTCGTCTAATGACCATGGTGTGTTCAATCTTGAAACAGCATCCAGGTTAGCCACTTGGCCTGAATTTTTAATCAATACATATTAAATAATTTTGGCTTTTATATTTATTCTTTTTTGGACTTTTGCAAACTTTATCAGAGACCCAATGCCAACTAGCCCTTTGGAGCTGAAAATGGTGAAAAGCTGTGTTAATGATCATGGGAACCCTACTGGCAATGGCAGTGCCCTGATCACATTGGGCTCTCCAACAACTCCTTTGCCATCAACTCAGAAAAGTTATCAACCAGACTTCTCCAAATTCAAGCAATACCCTTTCCAAGTAAGATGTCTAAACTTTAAGAGGAATCTGTTTTCCTTTGATTTCTTTTATTGGCTACGTTTCTGTCCCTGTTGAAAAAGTGTGTTCTGCTTGCATGATTTTCGTTGTGGTTTACTTTTCATTTGTCTTTTTCTCTTTCAGGAAAGGAAGGAAAGCTCTGATGTGTTATTCCAAACGTCATCAGAATCAGAGGGATCGGTTCACAAGAGGAGTTTCTTTACCTTCTTATTAAAACCAGATGAGCAAAGGGATGCAGCCGAAGCCACACCTAGTTTCAAAAATGGGAAATGTGCAAAAACAGGAGATTTCATTGATCTTACCTTAAAGCTCTAAATTGGTGCATGATGCGCCTCTTTAATTAAGGGATGTAGTCCCCCAAAAAAATCTTGATTAAGGGGCATATGCTATCTGCTAGAACTCGTTGTTTTATGGATATTAATCTTTGAGAATAGATATGGCTTTTAATGATTGAAAGATCCTTATGTGGTGGAGCATTTTTCTTCTGATTATATTCTTTTTCTACTAAATTCACTTACTATTTTATTTTTAAAATCAAAATTAAAAGTTAGTAATAAATGTAGCAATCAAGTGAAAATTAATTAAAACGAAACATTGACATAGATTAACGATAGATTAACAATAGATTGATGATAAATTTATCATAAACTTACACATACATTTACAATGTCTCAATTGATCACAGATAGAAGCCATGTTATGACTAGTAGATGATAGTGGATAAGTTCTCCCCCTGACGATGAATACTAGGAAGAGCCCCGACTCTGTCTATTCAGTTCCTTGACCAAGCTTTGCTGGACTAAGACCATCCCAAAACATTGGTGAGAACATAAATTAGCAGCAGGGAGATGGGGTACAGAAGATATACTAGGATACATGTCCAAATCTCCATTTTGGTGCTGAAAGTGGCAAAGAGTCCCATCGCTGTGCAAATAAGTAGAACAACCAGAACTTCCGCTGACACACCCCATGGAATATTCCGTATGTATACAAGCGACAGGAAGATGACCAAACCCATCACATTGTTCATAAATACTGCACCATAAAGCTGCAGAAGAATACCTTTAAATTATTAGTTACCAAGGCCAAACTGGAAGTGGATCGACCAATTTCAAAATTCATTCAAATTACACAAGGCATATTAGATCAGTTTGGGAGAGAAGTAAACCTCTGAAAATGTTAGAGAGGCAGCATCTTCTGTTTTCTGTCTGGCTGAACTAACCGCCCTGAATGATTGTCGGAAGCTCAAAGCCCAGGGTATGACCACATATGAGACCAAGAATGAGGGAATGTTTGCAGAAGTAGAGAATTCTTGGAGTGTTATCATGAGGGGATTTGCAAGCATAACCGTAATGGCAGTCCCCAGCGTGATCAGGAAAGCGGCCTTGGTGTAATTCCACCATGGGTTATCAGTACCCTTTCTACCTTTGCTCCGTTTCTTTGCAGGTAACAAACTTTGCTTCTCTTCATTGTTTTTCTGCATTTACATTCAAATGTTCATAACAGCATGAATTTTGTAGCATTTAAGCAAAATCCTACCCCATGGATTGATTTATACATATACCTTTTCATTAAAGTGAAAAAGTCTCCTCACTCCTTGAGCTTGATCATTTACAACATTATTTGCCTTGTTAAGCCAAATTGAGACTCCTCTAACGAATTCTGTTTCGTTTATATCAGAATCACCAGAGGAATCAAACTCTTCCATGACCTTCGTCTCAAAATCTTCTTCATCCAAGCCAACCTCTTCTATCTGTATTCCAAGTATAAAGGCTCTCAGTTCAGCTGGTGATATACGGGAATTGTTATTCTTGTCAATCTTGTGAAACAGCCTGCAGATATTTTTGAGTAAATCCCAATAACTCTGTCACCAAATTCAGCATTAAATATAGGAGCAGGAAATGTAAAAATTGAAAAAGACTTACTTTTTTATTTCAAATTCATTCGCCCTTCCATTAGCTGAAACAAGTCTATGTAACAAGTTCTTCTGTACATATCTACGCATCAAATACTCAAGTCTCCTATCCTGAATCCATGGCTTAAATACCTGTACCATCACGTTCACTTTTAATCATTTTGGACGCCAAAAAACTGAACCAACTCTGATTTGGAATTGCAAATTTATATATTTCTTTACTGCCATATGCCTTATGTTACCTGATAGGTGCAGTAACTGCCTAGCAAAGCAAGCGTAACGATGAGAGAAATAAGGACAACTACTCGTATCGCGGTAGCTGAACTTAGAAATTTCGCAAGCTGAAGAATGAGAAATGGAACCATAGACAGGAGCATAATTATTGCACTGTACCTAGTTTCAATATCAGTTCTTACACCATACCCTGCTCAGAAATGAAAAACCAGCCCATCAATTGTTGTTCAGTTGGAGATGTTCTTCTGTGCTAGTAGAAAATGTACCCAAAAAAAAAAAGTGACGAACCGGTTAAACTAAAGGGTTTCTTTTTTGTGGCATTGGATGAAATTGAAGTATCTGCATTGTCAGGATTTGATGAATTTGGTGAAGAAGTGTCTGAAAGATCATAGCTGCCAAATGCGATGACAGAACCCCAAACTAGTGTAAGCATCAGGACTGCTGATCCTGCAAGTAAGCCCATCCCCATTGTTGCCCTTGCTTCGATAGTTTCTTCACTTGCTGAGGCTCCACTAACTAAGAAATCCAAATTGCATCACATTTTTCAGGATCCATTTTTCACATTATTGGTTATTAATTTGATGAATATTTTTGTTAAAAAAGTAAAAATTTATGCATCAAAAAATATATCACACCCAAATTAAAAATTATCTGTAATGAAATAAAGATAATATTTGGGCTGTACAATTTTGAAATCTTCAAAGGAAAAAAAAAAGTTCTGGTAGGTGATGATCTAGTATTTTAATGTCTCACATTTGCTTTAAAATATTTACAGATCATACTTGACAAGGACAAAGAAAATTTTATAAGTAAACTTAGATTAATTCGATTATATACATAAACATTGATTGCTCATCAGATTCGTCTTATTCTCTTTTCTTTTTTTAATCTATATATTGTAATGATCGTGCCTTGAGAGGAGAAAATAGTTTATACTACTAATCTTGTCAGCTCCTGGATATGTCATTTTCCAAGGACTTTGTCATGTTGCTTTTGCTATGAGGCTAGTCAAATGGTTGAAAGTAGAACAATGCACCTCCATTAATGTGTATCACGACATTAATAACAATAGAGGCACTGTTTATAGAGGTTGACTTTTATGGTAAAATACTAGCCAGGTTAAATGGTAAGTATGTGATTAAACAAAACTTTCAAGATTAATCAAACTACCAAGTTAACTTGGCATCAGAAACTGGACTAAAAAGCTATGAACAGCGCATTTAGATGCAAATTCACAAGGAAAAAATAGTATGCACCCATGGAAAACAGAATATTTTGTTTGAAATGTGAGAAAGCTTACCTAGAACCAACATAATTTGTGGGATCATGCCGAGTATGTGGAACAAACTGGCACCAAAAATACCAGTTCCAAACATTTGAAAGAAAAGGTTGGAGCCGCTCGAAATGAACTCCTCTGAGAGGGATAGCAAATACTCGTAAACCACCAACAGGAACAGCTGCCCCCACAGCGTTGTTGTGCAAGGTAGGAAGCCATAGATAGGCTCGCAGGTCACCGTCGTCGTCGTCGGAAGGTCAAGTTCAAGAACAGAAGATTTGCCTGTTTGATCCATCCCATCTGATAAAAGACTGGATTCCTCTTTGATGGAACGACTACCACTTCCATAATTGATGGTTAAGATCAGTACAAGAATGGCAACTGTGAATTTTAGCATTGTCATGAAGCAGCAGCCTACGGGAAAGAAAACGAAATTTCCTCCCCTGGTTTTCTGAAAATCAGGTGAAACTAAGGTGATCGGTCTCTTCCTTATCAGGAGCTTTCCTCCCCTGGTTCTTGAAAATCAAGTCAAATTAAGGTGGTGGGTGGCTGGCTGGCTGGCTTATCACAAGAGCTTGCCTTGACTCTAAACGTACAGCAATTTAAACGTGCCACCAATTCATTGTTATACATACAGAATGTACCGCATGATAGACGGAAAATGAACGATTAAATCACCCGGTGAAGAAGATGACAACGAACAATTTGATCATCTGCAACTTGACACATAATAATATCATGGTTTACATTATTTTATTTGAAGCTACCTTGGCGTGTATATATATATATATATATACAGGCATGTGGTTGCCCGGTGAATTGATTGGAGGCATTGAAAGCGGAACTCTCTGCTCGAGGCAATTTTCTTCTAGGACAAGGCATCCAAGACTTTGTAATTTAGGCGAGAAAATTCAGAACACGGAACCTCAACTTAGCAAGAAGACCTCGTTAAGAGATTTTCATCCTCCAAGGCTTCCACATTGTTGACTACTTCCAAAGATTAGAAAATGTTATCCAACAAATAGAAGGAACGAAAGATAAAGTAAATGAATGTAACACAACCACAGTAGGCTACTGCAAGTCAAATATCAAGATATATACTCTCTCAAATTGCAGATAGAATATCTACGTCCGTTTAAGATTTACAGTCAAACCCTCAGTGCGATCAAATGGATGAGCTGCCAATCAAAAGAAATACATTAAGGTGAAAAAGAAATCACTTGAAGAGGAAGACTAATCAAGAAGAAGTCCCTTCATTAATCTATAATAAATAAACAAAACATTAAACAAGTAATCATCATCCATATCCTGTGACAATCTTCTAGGGAAAAAAAAGGGTTACTATCACATTGATTGACTACCTGCCTTGTTCCACCAGTTTTAAAGGCAGTCAGTGGATAATGGGATTGAGCTGCTGCTGCTGCTGCTGATAAAAATGCGGTGCAGCTTCAGTTAACCAAGAAGAATCTATGGAGATGACATTGCGCATGTATTGCCGGTCAGTGGAGACAAGAGAATGGTATATAACCCACCTTGGATTGACTCTGCATGTTACAAAATTCAGGGTAGAGAATGAGACAAGTTGTAACATAAATATTTGCAGCAAAATTAAGTATGCTCTAACAAAATTCAGTCCCTAAAGCCAAAAAAAAAAGAAAAAAGGCTACAAAACCATAATCTAGCCATCTGACTCAACAAGGATAATATAGTTAATTTTGCACATTTTTGGAATCCAAATTACCCAAGATTCATGTTTTCTAATAAAATGCTATTTAAATTTATACTAACTGCTACTCATGTTTTCTTGTTGCCAAATCAATTTCCTTGACTAATTAAGTTGTTTTTAGGTAATGAGGGCTCTGGTTCTTAAAAGATGATAGGACAGTCTATGAGGGCTCTGGTTTTTAAAAGATGATAGGGCAGTCTATCTGACGGATTAAGGCCTAGCAAGTAGCCCTTAGGGTTGATTGTGGATTGCTGAACATGAATTTTTTTTATACAACCAACTATTTCACAACCAAAGAAAGCACAAAATTGAATTAGCAGCAAGTATATTGCAGGATCTGATATTGCATCATGCAGACAAGAAAATTCTTTCCATCATCTTTAACTAAAATTGAACTTGCATGTCTGTGACTAATCACAGCACCAAGGAGCTTCTAAAATAATCACATACAAAAATATAAGCACTTCTATACCAAATCAAGTCTCAATACCAACCTGAACAACACAGACGATGGATGAATATAAACTTCTTGGGAACCTCTAATAGTCTTGTACATCCCACTATGACTGAAAGCCTTATGACAAGATAGGCAACAAAACTTAATTAGGATATCAACAGCTTACCAAGGAAGAATTTTTTTAGTTTCTAATAATACAACGATATTTATTTAAAGACAAGTAACCATTTGCCTAGGGATTAAAATTACCTCCAAACGACATGCATTAGCAAAAAACCCAGCAGTGACTGCCTTTCTCACTGACTGCAACAAGTACATTAGAGAGCATCATTCATCTTTTTCAAAAAAATATGATAAAAGATTATTTGAGACATGAAATGCCAAGAGGAATGAGGTGGGCTTGATTTAAATTATACACATGACAATGGCACTAGAAAGTGCCACTATATACACATAAAATTTCCACTCCTAAGTTCTCAAAATTTGTCACTGCAAGAAATCAAAAAACATAGCTATCTATATAATCGAATCAGTATTGTTAAAATCCTATGATGGGAACTCCAAAAAGGCTCCCGAAGCTCTAGTTGTAAGCTCAAGAAACAGAAAATTAAGATTTTCAGAAGAAAGGAAAAGATGATCTAAGGAACTGATGATATGAATAAATCCATCATATGATGTATTCAAATGAAGTCTTATTATCAGTTCAATTACCTCCCATTCGAACTTTTGACTATTTCAATTTGTTGTTATACACAAAAAGTCGCAAGCCAAACCAATCAGTGAATAAGCAATAAAACAAGACTCAGGGGAGCAGAAACACCATTTACATTTACAAGCTTTACATAAATTTTTTATTTAAGACTAATAATATCAACCTTCTCCCAATGGAAACGGTGGCAGCAAGAACAGACCTTCCCTTTCCCTGTTTCTTTTCTAAGATTAAATCAGTAAGTCACTTTATTTACCTGCATATCTCTTTCACAAGATTTCAAGACAATGCCCAACCTCAGTGCTATTCTTTTGAGTTGTTCTCTGATTTCCATTACTTTTTTCTGCAAAATAATTAAAACCATTAACTTTTTTTGTGTAAATTAATTAATAAAATTTTAACATAAATAATTCACTTATGGGATGTGGCAAAGTAACTATCTTAAAGAAGTAAAATCTACAGATACAGGATTTTTGTACAAAAGACAAGCTCTATCAGAGTGACATGGACTGTAACTTAAATTCTCAAAAATGTTTAAAAACAAATACACACCATGGCATGATAGTTTATGAAGTTCCTATGACACCACTGTGAAGATTTGCCTGACTGGAGAAATCCTTTGTAAATATTCAGGAAAGTAACATGGTCACCCTGCAAAAGACAAAGATGAGAGACAGGTGCAGCACACTAATAACTGAGCTATTACAATAGATCAAATCATACTTGTAATCTAGAAAGAAAATCCAGTAAAACTAGTTAAGGTAGTTCATACTTTAGATCCATTTCCTAGTATAAAAACTAAAATTAGATGAGATAAGCATGAAACTTGAAATGCAGCCCAAATCAAAGCGAAACGATCCCAACAAAGGTTGAAGCAGCTTGGAGTAAGCTATAAGAAGTAGTAATATATTGAAGAATAGAGAACAAAGTAAATCAGGTTTGAAAACATAAAATCATATGAAGCTGAAGATCAAAGATATAATACCTCAGCAGCAGCAAATCTCAATTTGGCTTCATCCAGTTCCTTTTGCACACCCCTACCAGAAAACCAGATAGACTGCAAAGACATTCTAAATATCAACTAAAATTCAGCAGGAACGTTTCCTTCATGTTGGGACATTAATTTTAAGCTTTTAAAGAAAAAATTCAATAACTTTATTATTTCATCCTTTTATTTTCAAAAGCTGAGGGAAAGGAAAAGTAAAAGAGAAGAGGGAAGGAGGAATGCTCAATCAGGAATATTGATAACTTGGTCTTTACAACAATGGTATCTGAGAAAACAAAAACATTTGAATAATGTGTAATAGAGAGCAGGGGTAGTTTACCTGGATGGAGAGAACAGCAGCAATAGTAATGATTTCCTCTGAACACCCAAGCTCATTTGAAGCTAAAATCATTTTTGAGATCATTGGTTCCTACAAAACATATCATAGTGAAGCATGCACCTAAGAAAAACAACATTAAAAAACAAAAACTGACTAAAGAAAAATAAGTAAAAACTTAAAATATATAATTAGCCATGGCCCCATTTCTATTAGCTGTGTATCTCTCCTAACAGTAACAAGGAAGACATCAATAAAATAAACCATTACAAAAGAATGAACCTAAAATCTTAAGTGAAATAGGACATGCTTACTTACCAGTGGAATTTCTGCAACTTGAAACCCAACTGGTGAAGTAAGTTTGGCATCATCATCAAGGACTCCAAGTGAATAAAGTACTTCAAGTGCTCGGATCATTGATTCAGGAGATGGAGATGCTGGCCAATCAAAGCCCAAAATATTATCGATGCCTAAGGCTTTTAACTGCAAGATCAGAATACAGAGATTAGCATCTAGAACACTATAAAAGATTAAATCAGAGCATAATTCTACAACACGATTAAATACTATAAAAGATTAAATCAGAGTCAATTGTCAATATATGAAATGAAGGAAGCACCAAAGTTAAAGTTACATATGCGGTTTAGTGCCAAACAATAAGGAGACATTTCATTGACAATTTGATGTAGTACCAAATGAAATCCAGAGAAATCATGCAACAAATCTGAATACCTGAATCACACAGGAAACAAGATTTGACCTCTGAATCTCTGGGATTCCTTGAGCAGACATTTCATTGACAAAATACTCTTCTGTATAAAGTCTGGTGGCCAATCAAAAGAATTCAGTCATAGACAATATGATTTCATCTAAACAAAGAATTGTAACTTCATGAGATAATTAGACACCTGTAACACTTCCCAGGTCGAAGTCTACCGGCCCTTCCAGCCCTTTGTCTAGCAGATGCCTTGGATATTGGTGCCACTACAAGATTTTCTATATCTGAGATCTGAAGCAACAAGAATAATATGATTAACAATTAAAACAGAAGGCTGGAAAGGCAATCCATTTAAAGATATAACGCTTCCATTAAACCTCTAGAAAAGGTAGAACAAATAGTCATATGAATCAGAAAAGAACTAAAATAAACCGGCCACTATTGTGATAAACTGAATAACATAATGCAGAACTGAGAGTACTTGCATGCTTCAATATACCCAATCTGGAAAAGCTTAAAATTTCACAATTTTCCTTTAGCACAAGATGATCCAAGACAATCCACCACAAAGTGATTAACACCACTGTTAACCGATTTTTCAAGGAAAAAGAAAACTAAAGATAATGTTATGTATTATTTTTCAGATTCACTGCAAATAATGCCAGGAATGATCATTTGGATTGTAGTTCAGTAGATCTTGTGGTAATATATTTTAGGAATGAATAACTTTAGGCAAGATTTCACCACTATCAAACAGAGTTCACATAGATAATCCTATAATCTACACCTGTTTCACCATAACAAGAAGGGTGGAAACAAAGATACCGGATTGTAAAATCGTTGTTTTGAGAACCCGCTGTCAACAACATAGACAATTCCCTGCACCAACCATGAAAACAAGGGTAGACATGAATGCAACAATTGTTTACTATAAACTAGAAAACTGAAGTTAAATAAATAGCTCCAGAGTGCACATATCTTACCTCTAAAGTCAATGATGTCTCTGCAATATTTGTTGATATCACTACTTTTCTCTTACCTTTAGGAGTTGGAGAAAACACCAAATCCTGAAAAGAAAGAAAGAGAAGTTTGTAAACCCAGAAAGGTAATTAAGTAAATTCTACAGAAGTCGCTTTATTACACAGGCAGTTATCTCTAACCTGTTCTGCACGTGAAAGTCCCGAGTATAGAGGCAGAATAATCAACCCTGAAAACGAAGGATATAATTCAGCAATTAACCACAAAATCCAACAGAATGTTTATTTTGCATTAAGCTAAAGAAATCATCCTCCCATTGATTACACTCAAGGTTGGCACTGAACATATAAGTGGTGTGGAATGCTAGGTCTTTTCTATTAGAGTTTTGTTTGACCCATTTGAATAATAGAATGTAATTTAAACATGCATCCATCGAAAAAAGTGACACTAACTAATAACAGCTCACAGATCCACCATAGTGCCAGGCATCAAGCTATCCACCATAGTGCCAGGCATCAAGCTATCCACCATACTTGCACCATAACACATATACATGTAGTCATTCTCATGTATGCACAGGCATAAAAACTCCAATACAATCTGCATATAGAGATATACTAATACAAAATTATTGCAACTTCTTTTGATGGATATAAGTTAATGATGACAAGTCCAAAGATATGCCATCCTACTAAACCTGAAGAATTTTTCCCATTGCTTCGAGCTTCTTCAGTAAGCATCTTAACAGCAACATCAATATCATCTTGACCAGTAAGAAATACTAAAATATCACCTGCTGGTTCCTAAGCAAAAGATAAAATATAGATAAGAAAAATTAGTGGAATTTAATCTTTCATGAAAAAACTTATACAATACCAGTCTATACTAGTATTTGGGAGGGAAAATTATAATAAATGAGTTGAAGAAAGCCTTCGCAGGAAAGAACATAAAGTTATTGAGACATCTATAGTTCTTGCACTATAAAGTTTATTGGTAGTTTTTAGGGCAATTGCAGAACACTAAAAGAGTGAAAGGCTAGACATTAGATCTTTAAAGAACTCCTTTCAGACAAATGGTACTTAAACAATTTATGAAAAAGAAAAGAATATTTATCATATCTAAATGTTTTTGTTTTTGCAGCATTTATAAACATTTCCATACAATTATTTAGCATCAAAGAAATGCTTCAAGAAACTATCAAAAGCTTATCATTGAAGTGTCACAGTTTATATGCATACATATAAAACCAAAAATTTGAATTTATTACAATCTTCAAAATACCTGGTCATGGATCAATAGCACTGTTGAAACAGCTGCCTGAACATAGTCTTGGACAGGGTCCTCCACATAATGAATTTGCACATTAAACCCTCTACCCTGAATATTAAGCGCAAAACAAAACCTAATTTCATTAATCCAAAGTGAATGGGAAAAAAGGAGCATCACTTAAAGAATAACTTCCATCAGAAAAACAAACAAGTTGCCTTCACAAACAAAAGTTTTGTGCGTGCATGTGTTTGAAAAGTGGCAGAAGGGAGTGGTACTGCATTGAGAATACCTCAACAGATAGGATCGCAGGCTCCAACCTTGGTCTAAGCTCCTCACCTTCCGATACTTGACGTCTTTTGCTAGTTTACATCAAATGCAAGATGTTACGGTCAAACCCAGAAACTTGCAGATCATTATCAACTAACGGGAAATCCAAACCAACAAATAAATACTAATAAAAAAAACCATTAAATAGCTTGAAATTAGAAATATTCTAAACTCTCAACAATGAGAAAGGTACTTCAGTAAAATGCTTAGAAAGAAACCTGGACTGGAAGAAATCAGACATTGCTTTTGCTTCGATCGTAGCAGAAGATATAAGCAGGCGCAGCTGAGGTCGACGCTTTTGGATCTGAATTTTCAATGTTTAGCAAAGATTTGAGAAAGAACAAGACCTATATGGAAAAAAAGAAGTTGCAAATTTCCTAGTCTTTCCAACCACCACCAACACACGAGTCACCAAGTATAAATAGGATTACCTTTTTCAGAAGACCAAGTAAAATGTCTGTTGAAATAGATCTTTCGTGAGCCTCATCCACCATAATGACACTGCCAAAGTCATATATACTTTTATTCTATTTTATCTTACTAAAAAAAAAAAGAGCCTCATCCACCATGATGACGCCGTGATGGACTTACAGGCACACCTGAATGCCATTAAATTTCTAGTTTGCCAATTTGATTATCTGACTTTGCATTAATAATGATCAAATGCACATAATTTTATTTTTCACAACAATGAAAACTAACCAACAAGTAACAATAACATAGCTAATAAGGTTATCATAAAATATATCAATATAGAAGTAGCCTGATACGGAGAATGAACAAAGGAATGAAGCTAAAGAGAGATAGAAAGTATAATTCATAAAAGAGAAGCACTAGCTGCACTATATCGAAAATTCTCCAATCTTAACCAATACCTGTACTTGGTCAAAAGGGGATCATCCATCATTTCTCTAAGTAAGACTCCATCTGTGAGAAATTTTATCCTAGTAGCATCCTGCACTGTCAAAAGGAAACAATTCTCAACATCCAGGAGACCAAAATACAGAGAAAAAACACAATTTAATATGATAACAACTCTGAGATCAAAGATTGAGTAGATAACTCACTGGATTAGAGATATCTTCAAATCGAATTGTGTAGCCAACTTCTTCTCCAACTTTGACGCCCATCTCCTCAGCTACCCTTGAAGCAACTGCCTGTGCATCAGATACAATGGCAATTATTCAGCAAAAAAATAACACATTTCCATGCACCAAAAGATTGAAAATATTAAAATGCTAACAATCCTGACATATATGCATCCAAACTGTAGAGTAAAATGTAAAAGGATGTAGGAACATTCAAAGCTACCTGGACAGCTAGTCGTCTTGGTTGTGTGCAAGCTATAACACGCCCACCATCAGCCCAACCTGCTTCTTTAAGATACTGCAATTCAAGCATACAAATCAAGATTCTCAGCAACCAAAAGAAAGCAAAATAAACTACAAAGTTCATAAAGAGAAATGTGAGTGTGCAGTTAAAGCATTTTCTTTTAAATTCTCTCCATTTCAATTCAAGAACCAAACAAAACAATAGAATATAAGCAAAGAGAAATAATACCTGCGGGATTTGAGTCGTTTTGCCACTACCCGTTTCACCAACAACAATGGAAGTAGCGTGAGACTCCACCAAATAAAGAATAGAAGTTCTATACTTGTAAACTGGCAGCCTTTGTCTTTGCCTCTCAATGCTCGCGTACCCATATCTGTAAAATAAGGAAAAAACAAATTCTTTTGAGGAAGAGAAAAGACAAGAAAAGCAAAACGAAAGAACAAAAATTGAAGGAAAAGAGGGATACAGAGAGAGATACCCAGAAGAAGAGGAAGAGAAAGAAGAAGACAAGAAAAGCACGCCGCCTTCCTCGTCGTCGAGGAGGCGGGGCTTCTCGGTTCCCGGTTTCCAGAACTGCGCCATCGTTTTAAGCTCTGTTTTCTTGCTTCTAGGAAAGTTGAATCAGCGTTCTTGCTTGTCCTTTTCGTTTTGTTATTAATCGGCTATCAAGGGGCTTTGGGTTTGGTCTCTTACTCTCGTAGGCTCTGACCTATGGGCTTGGTCTTATGATAAGTGGATTCATCGGCTCTGTTCTCTTTTGGGCTGATGGAGTATATCTTGATGTTGGGCCAAAGCTATTGGCCCAAAGTTTTTAAGATTTTTTCGGCCATTTTAGTCTTCTAATTTTTTTATTTTATTAATTTATTTAATGGGAGTAAGAGAATCCATTAATTTGAATAATATTCTTTAAAATGGTTAGAAGATAAGCAAATTAATTGTAATAAAATGGATTGACAGAAAGGGGAGAGGAATCTGTAAAAACTTGTACATTTCAATTCTCAATACCAATCCCCACAACAATGGGAAGAAACTAGAAACCAAAGTTTTAAACGTCAAACCCATTGAATTTATAATTTTATCATTGATTTTTTTTTTCCCTGCTACTTTTCCTTCTGGGCAAACAAGAGAAAGAGAAGAATCGATTGCAGTCATTAATTCCTTTCCACATTCTGTAGACAGAAGTAACCCTTCCCTAGGCCTCTTCCCGCAAACCAACTATAAGTCTAACACCATCGTCCAAGCTGTTAGGCTCTGGCTCAGCCGTATCCTTTGATTCTTCCACAGCGGAGATCCACGTTGTAGGCTTATTGCCCCTATGGTTTTTTGCTAAAAGGCCCTGCTTTGAATGGCGGCTACGCCGCTGACTTTTGTTAGTCAGACAGAAAAATAATACAGAACAAGATTCCTGGCAATTACACCATTTCTTTACATTATCTATTATAAACATAAATATGTTTCCTGTAACAATTTCTTGCAAAGATAACGGAGATGAGAGAACTGCATAGCAAGGTCGAAAAAAGTATGCAAACCGTTAGAACCCAACTGCCTTTCCCTCTCATTTCAGTTAACAAAGTCTCCACGCCTTGCCTTCTCTTCCCTCTACTCATCGTCAGTTTCCTTCTCGTCCCCTTCCATGGAGCACAAGCTGCCAACATTGAAAGCGTTACAGAAATCAGAATTGGTGCAATCATTGACGCTAATTCGCGCATTGGAAAAGAAGAGAAAACAGCCTTGGAAATTGCTGTTGCAAACTTCAACACCAGTAAATCAAGAAACCACAAGTTATCTCTTTACTTCCACGACCCCGGAAGAGAACCCTTTAAAGCAGATTTGGCCGGTTTGTTATAATTTTTTTATTGCCTTTTCTTCCTTTTGTTTTATAGTGTTGGAGGCTTAGAGTCTGAGCTAATTATTACTGTATTTCTATTGCAGCTGAAGAACTGATTAAGAAAAAAAAGGTTAAAGTAATTGTTGGCATGGACTCATGGGAGAAGGCAGCTTTGGTTGCCGATGTTGGAACTCGGGCTCAAGTTCCCGTTCTTTCGTTTGTAGCGCCGGCGATAACACCACCATTGGCAGCAACTCGTTGGCCTTTCTTGATAAGAATGGCTAGCAATGGTCTTGAACAAATGAGATGCATTTCAGCTCTTGTTCAGGCCTACAACTGGCGAAGAGTCGTAACCATCTATGAAGATGATACGTATGGCGGTGATTCTGGAACCCTAGCCCTTTTATCAGAAAAGCTACGGACAGTTGGTTCCCAGATTGAGCATAACTTGGTTCTACCACCATTTTCATCATTATCTGATCCAAAAAGGTTCATTCAAGAAAAGCTACGGAAGTTAAGAACAGAAATACAATCTCGGGTTTTCATTCTTCTCAAGTTGTCATCACCTATGACGATTCATTTGTTCAGAGAAGCTAAGGAAATGGAACTTGGAGGGAGGAACACAGCTTGGATACTTTCAGATACCATTACCAGCTACCTGGACTCATTCAACCATTCTGTTATTTTCTCTATGGAAGGTGCTTTAGGAATTAAAGCCAACTATTCTGAAGAAAGTACGTCTTATTTAAAATTTTATTCTCAATTTAGGGAAGTTTTCCTATCTAAATATCCGGAGGAAAATGAATTTAAGCCCGGAATTCATGCTCTTAGAGCTTATGATAGCATTAAAGCCATTGAATTAGCCATAAAAAGAACGAGTAGCAACCACAGCAGTCAAAAATTGTTGTTACGAAATATCTTATCCAGCAATTTCAATGGTTTAAGTGGTAAAATACGCTTTAAAGCAGGGAACCCGAACCAAACTCAAAGCTTAAGGATTGTAAATGTGGTTGGAAAGAAATACAAGGAGATTGACTATTGGTTGCCGAAATCTGGATTCTCAAAGACTCCCAGTGGAGGAGAAAATAGTGGCGCCAATGATGGTGAGACTGTAAAAGCTTTGGCTGGGATAGTGATTTGGCCAGGGGACTCACTTGAAGATCCAAAAGGATGGGCAATGCCTACAGCTGAAAAACCGATGAAAATTGGAGTTCCCAGAAGAACCTCATTTGAAGAGTTTGTGGAGTTTCAGGGTGAGACACCTACCGGTTTCTGTATTGATCTTTTCGAAATGGTGCTGAGGAGTCTGGATTATAATCTATCGTATGAATTTGTCCCCCACCGTGACTCCTATGACGATCTCATTTTTGCTGTTTCAAACAAGGTAATGACTCTGTCTTAGCCTTTTGATGAATGGTCTTCACAGTTCAACAAATATTTCTCTTTAATCAATAATGGTTTGTTATATATCTGTATGATTTGGGCATAAAATTTGTGAATAGAGCTACCTGAGTTTCACTAACAAGACCATCTATATTTTCATTTCTGATCCAAATTTTGTAGTGGATAACATTTGTTTTTCATCGAGCGAAGCTGGGTAGCTGTTGAAATAAGTTCCCTCTATATATAATTGATTTTGTAGGTTTTAGAGCAGGGACTTCATTAAAACACATTGCAGTAGCGAGTCAGAATTTCTCATGGCCGAAGGTAGCGGGAAACACTCAAACTAGGAAGAAATAACGTATAGAGTTCCTCCACTTTTGGTTTCTCACATACTTGAAACTTCTCTCTCCTTCATGTTTTCTCTGCCAACCATTCTCCTACAGTTTTTGACTTGATCCACTCGAAAGAAGTCCTTGGTAGGGCAATGATAGACTGATTGTATCAGTAAAAAGCAAGATCATTCATATAAGATTCCCATTTCTTTGTTTAATTCTTTCTTTCGCTCAATTATTTGTTTCTGATAAAGATTACTTTGGTGGTCCTGCATGTCTAAATCAATGGAAGACTTATGATGCTGCTGTTGGTGATATAACAATACTAGCTGAAAGGATGGAGCACGTGGAGTTTACTCAGCCTTTTGTTGAATCAGGGTTGTCAATGATAGCTCCAACTCACTCTGATTCAGAATTGATGTTCATGAAGCCTTTCACGTTGGAAATGTGGGTGGCGACCGGTGCCTTGTTCATCTACACAATGTTCATAGTTTGGTTCTTGGAGCATAGGTCAAATCCTGAATTTAGAGGGGGACTGAAGAATGAGATCGGCACTGCACTTTGGTTCACTTTTTCTTCTCTCTTCTTTGCTCACAGTAAGTATCAGTCAAAAAATGAACGATCTAAATACCATTTTTTATTCTAATACCCTTTAAGGTCAGTGGTACTCCTTGATTGGGATCATCTGGCTGAAGTTTTTTAGGCGGTTTTGTTCAAAATATCCTCCTGATATATTAGGTGACCTGAAATATATGCCCATGGTTAATGCAGGGGAAAGAATATACAGCAACTTGACTAAGGTGGTGGTCTTAGTGTGGCTATTTCTTGTATTTATCTTGACCTCAAGCTACACTGCTAGTCTGTCTTCACTGCTCACTGTCAAAGAGCTGGAATCAAATCTAGATATCCAATCAGTAAGAGAGAGAGGCTTAAATGTTGGTTGCGATAATGATTCCTTTGTCAATACTTACCTGAAGACTGTGCTTAGTTTCAAAGAAGAACAAATACATATATTTAACAGTAGCGAATCCAGTTATGTAGACGAATTCAGAAAGAACCAGATAGATGCAGCCTTTATTGAAGTACCATATGAAAAGGTTTTCCTAAATAAGTACTGCAAGGGATACGCATCGATTTCACCAACCTATAGATTTGGAGGTTTTGGCTTTGTAAGTACTAGTTACAGCTTGAATGGCCTGAAATATCAGTACTTTTATCTTTAATGATTGACAGTCATTTCTACTCTAAAATGAAAGCTGAAAACAACTTCTTGCATTGTTTGCAGGCGTTCCAAAAAGGCTCTCCCATAGCTGCTGATTTTTCTAGAGCCATTCTGAAGCTATCAGAGAAAGGAAATTTAACATCATTGGAAAAATACTGGTTTCCTCCCTCTGCTGAGTGTAATGCAGCAAACACTAAAATTGAAAGTTTGAGCCTCCACAGCTTTTGGGGTATCTATGCTATATCTGGTGCCACTTCAACTCTTTGCTTTCTACTGTTCTTACTTAAGCTGCTAAAGAATTTCCGGCATCAACAAGAAGCATTCAGAGGTAATGTTTCTCCAGGAAGAAATGGTACTTGGAACAGGACGGTTGGACTTGCAAAGTACTTCTACAAAGGCGAAGTTAATCTTCCAAGAAGTTTCAGAAGCGCTTCAACTTCTAATCAAGCACAGGCATTAGATCAACCGCACTCATTGAAGTGGAATATGTGAGCCATTCTGACAATCAGGAGGATCTTCCAGCCTCCTCGCTAGCTGATAAGATTGAAATGCTAGGAAGCTGTCACTGAAAAAGATTAGGAAGAGGGAGAAACTTATGCTGATCAAGATCGACTGCTTTTATTTTCATCATAGCTGCTGCATAACATCTAGCTATTGTTTTATTTAATTGACAAATATTGGGCACTTGTAAATTGTAATGTTACATATACAGTAGGGCTATCTTGTAAATAATTTCAAGATCAATGACTTATCCAAAACCATTCATAAATCATGAATGGCGTAAGCATATTGGCCCCCCTAACCTTTACCAGATTTGGCAAAGCCTATATCATGGTTAAATGCCCCATCATTGTCTATATTGCAAATTCACCATTTCAAATTGGCATTGCAGCTCTAATACCAAAGAAAGACAGAGGGTTTGGGTGCTGTAAAAGATGATTTGTTAGTTGTATGCTGCATCCCATGACCCTGATCCTTTCCATTCTATGAGGAAGTTAAATAGAGAATTAGTGTGCAAATTCAAGTTAGAAGTTAGAAGCTAGAAGCTTCAGCTGCATCCGAGAATGTGCAACCTTAACAATTCAGACTGGCATGTAAGGAAAATAGCTAAGAGCATATAATAACTTATATAAATGCTGCAATAGTCTAAAGCCTAGAAGTCATAAGACAGATGAATTCTTTTTGGGGGCACAAAGGAAAGATAATTTGGTAATGTTTTTTCAACTATTCTTGTAACTTTTTTCGTTGGCAATGGTGTCTGTACAGGGTCTTCTGGGAAGGTCTGAGCTTTTTGTGACCTTCATGGGCATGTTTTTGTGTCTAAGGGTCCTTTCATACCCTCTGTTTTAATGAAAGTTTATGCTTTTCAAAAAAATATATATAGAATAAAGAGCCAAGCTCAAACCACATTTGGTCAGCTTCAGTAATATTGTATATTCAAGAATCAGGAAAACTTAAGTTTCAACCTTATTGTGGTTGACTTTTCCTGCAAGACAAATCCATGGCAGGAAACTATGCGGAATCATGCCATTCATTTTCCAGCAATCCTTCTGTAATTTACAAAGTCTAAGCATCTATATGTTCAGTTATAATTCAGATATAAAAAACAAAAGGCAAGTTCATTTTTAATATTTTGAAACACTATTCAGTTTCATATCCGAATGGCTAAGACATTGTGCGATGATTTTCCTTTCTCTTGCAGTTCCATAATTTTAAAATGTTGGGATCTGTACCAGGCATTCGTTGTATTTGCCTTCATCATCTCTTTTGGAGTTGAAGTTGCCAAATATTATCAAGTTAAGAAGATCGGTACTGTTTTTGATGTTACTTCTCCATTTGTGAAGGAAGAGAAAACAGCCATGGAAATTGCAGTTCAAAGTTGCAATATTTCTCTCTTTATGAACCCTGGAAGAGACCTCCTGATAGCTGCTAGTACAGGTTATATCTTGACTATAACTTTCCCGCTAATATTGCTTCTATTTTGATAAGTGCAGCCTGATCATGACAATTTATAGTGACAAGGATTTGTTAACTTCGTTTCAGCTGAAAAGCCAGATAAAGAGATGAATACATGGGAAAAAGGGGCTTCAGTTGCTGCAATTGGAAATCACGTTGACACTCTGGTTCTTTTGTGTGCAGCACCTTCTACACCACCAACACTATCATCCCTCGATCAGCCTTTCTTGGCAAAATTGACAATCAATGATTTTGAACAGATGAAATGCTTTGCAGCTATTGTTCATGTCTACAGCTGGAACAGGGTTATCCCAATTTTTGAAGAAGAGGAATACCTTGTATTCATCTTGAAGTCAAGCTACACTGCTAAAGAGAGTTCAATACTCATCTTGCAGCCACTGGAACCAAATATCACAGATATTGAAAGGCTCAGAAAGGCCAATTCAAAAATTGGATTTGATGGTGATTCATTTGTAAGGGCTTATCTTGAGGGGGTGCTTCGGTCTGGAAAACAGCATATCGAGAATGTCAGCAGCAAATACAAATATGAAGGAGAATTTAGGAGCATCAACAGAGCAGCTGCCTTTCTTGAACTTCAAGATGGGAAAGTTTTCCTCAGTCAATACCGCAAACAGTTTATTGCTACCACACCTATCTACAGCTTCAGAGGGCTTAGCTTTGTGAGTATATAACTAGAACTTCATTTTATCAAAGGAAAATTTCCATGGAAAGAATCTCTAAAGGCTTGAAAGTCTAATAAAAAAGCTGATGTATTCATATTTCCCTAGAATAATGTCCCGCATAGATGATGTGAATTTGGACTCTTCATTTTGCTGCAATATAAAGAGATCAAAATGATACAAAGAAAAGGAACAATCAACAATGTACCTTATTACACCTACTAATTAGCGTATAAACTTATTCAGCATTGTTCTTCCTTCTAGATTCTAGCATTTTATCCCATTTTCCAAAATTTCATCCATGCTAGAAAAGTGGGTTAAGATGAAACTTGTTTTTGCTGTCATTGAAGGTATTCATGAAAGGCTCTCCAATAGGTACTGATATTTCAAAGGCTATCCTAAATCTAAATGAAGATGGGATCCTAAAAGCACTGGAAGAAAATAAGTTTGCTTATTCATCCGAAGTTTCGTTCTGCTTGCCCGTCCAAAGCTTCTGGGGTATTTACCTAATATTTGGTGCCACTTCCACAGTTTGTGTTCTACTCTTCCTCGTCAACCTAATAAAAAATTACTGCTGTGATCAAGACGGAGAAAATGAAGACAACATACCTCCATGTTAATGAATCTGTCTGGAATGAGGCGATTAGAACTGTTGCATATCTTTGTCTTGGAGATATTGACATGAAAACTTTTCGCAAGGCTTTATCAGTTAAATACTAAGATATGTCAGAGTTTGAGCTGGACCATACTTGTTTATTCATCTTCAGATTCAATTTTAGCCTCATATCATATATCCTGTTTCATCCCAATTCTACTCTACCAATATGCTATAGTTCTAATTATTGCTGCTTTTCCAACGTGCAATCACGATAGCTACCAAATGCGCCATTTGTGATTACTTCTAAATTTTTTTGTAATCTACCTTTAAACCAATGATAAATGGTTTGCAGAGCTTAATACCATGGTTTACGTGCGCCGTTATTGTGTACATTATGGAATGAAAATTTTAAATTAGTTTGCTAGCTTAATACCAAATCAAACATATGACATTTGGGGTTCATATTTGCCTATTATAACTGATTTCTTATGATGTTTTGTTGCATCCATATACCCTGCTCTGCTCCACTTCATGACCAAAGCTAAAGCGTGCAAGGGCGAGTTAGAACTTGCCAGCTACATGTAAGAATTGTCTCAGCTCTATTATTTTCATAAATATTTATTTTAGTAATCACTTAGGAGGATTTGGGTACCTGTTACAAATATTAATGAAGCCCAATTTGAAAAAGAAAATTGAATTTAGATCAATTAGGCCGGAAGCCCATATCAAAAGAAACCTGATATGGCCTAAGTCCAACCTTTTCTTTGCTGTTTGGAAAACCTGTGGTTGAACCAAGAGGATTATGCACCTGAGCCGAATGCTCGGTGTCTTTCATTTTAAGACTTTAATATGCCCTGCTCCTCTTTCTTCATGCCGGCTTTCATCCTGAAAAACCGTTACCCAGAGCCGCCAGCCCGCTAGGCAACTTAACCGACACCATCTTAAATATTCTGACTCCAAGGGTTAAGACGAATATTGGGGAGTCGGGGACAGAAGAGTGAAGACAGATAAATGATTAATTCCTCTTAGTAGAGTTTAATCTTAGTAACCTGTTTGGTCAATAATATTTTGTTTCTTTGACTATAGAATTAAGAGCCTGGCTCAAATTAACCAAGTCTGGTCAACTCCTATAATCCAGATGCAAGATAACTTGAGTTGCAATGTAAACGTAATTGACTAAGTCTTGAAGACCAATTAGGACATGAAATTACTGGGATGTTCATGCCAATCATTTCCGTTTCTCAAATTCATGAAGTCTTGAATGACATAAAGATATGCAGCTACAATTAGGACATGAAAGAAGAAAAGTAAGGTCCTTTTCATGATTCAAAACATTATATGCTCCATAACGGAATGACTAAGACATTGTGCAATGGTTTTTTTGCCCAGTTGCTTTTATCTTGCAACAGTTACATAAATACGGTTTCAAAAAGTGCATTCTCTCTGATGGAGTTCAAGCTGTCGATAATCATAAACTTACAAACATCGGTGCCATCATCCATGTCAATTCCCGCGTTGGGAAGGAAGAGAGAACAGCCATGGAAATTGCAGTTCAAAACTTCAACAATAAGTCAAACAGTCACAAGTTATCTCTCTACATTCAGAACCCTGGAACAGACCCCCTGCAAGCCGCTTCTGCAGGTCTGTGATCTTAATTTCTTAACCATAATTAGTTTCTAACTTTTTCTTTGTTAAGTTGTAGTAACATGAAATCATATATACGTAATCATGACACTGAAGTAGATTTGGCTGCAGCTGAACAGCTGATTAAAGGGCAGAACGTGAAGGCGATTATCGGCATGGAAACATGGGAAGTAGCTGCTCCAGTTGCTGAAATTGGAAGCCGAGCTCAAGTTGCGGTTCTTTCATTTGCAGCACCTTCTATAAAACCGCCAATGTCAACTCTCCGATGGCCTTTCTTGGTACAAATGGCAAACACTGATTCTGAACAAATGAAATGCATTGCAGCTATCGTTCATCCTTACAACTGGTAACAGGTTATCGCGATTTATGAAGATGAGACATATGATGGTGATTCTGGGGAATTAGCTGTTCTAACCGAAGCTCTACAGCATATCGGTTCAGAGATTGAGCATAGATTGGTTCTTCCACCGATTTCATCTCTGACTAATCCAAAACAAATTGTTCAGGAGGAGCTGCTGAAGCTTCGTAGCATCCGTTCTCGGGTTTTTGTTGTCCTTAAAGCTTCTTCATTTATGACAATTCACTTGTTTAGAGAAGCTAAGAATATGGGGTTTCTGGGAAGAGACTCAGCTTGGATAATCACAGACACGATTACAGCTTACCTTCACTCTTTTAACACCTCTGTTATTTCCTCTATGGAAGGAGCTTTGGGAATCAAGGCCTACTATACTGAGAATAGTAGCTCTTATGAAAACTTTTGTGGGCAGTTCAGGCAAGTTTTCCGAAAGAAGTACCAAGAGGAAGATAACTTTGAGCCTGGAATTTATGCCTTCCGAGCATATGACGCCATCAGAATCATCATAGAGGCCATGGAAGGAATCATCAACAACAGTAGCAGTCCAAAAGAATTGTTAGGAAATATGTTGTCAAGCAATTTCACTGGTTTAAGCGGAAAAATTCAGTTTGAAGGAGGCATGCTGTCACATGTTCCTATATTAAGGGTAGTAAATGCGATTGGAAAGAAATATAAAGAGCTGGCTTCTGGTTACCCAACTTTGGGTTCTCAAGGGGCCTTGTTATTGAAAAAGGTGAAGAGAAAGATTATGCGGTGGAGATAGCAGGTAACACAGCCCAAGGGTTGTCTGGTCAAGTCACTTGGCCTGGTGAAGTCCAAAATCCAAAAGGATGGGTGATGCCTACTGATGAAAGGCCACTGATTATTGGAGTTCCTGGTAGAGCCTCATTTGAGAAATTTGTGAAAGTTAAGAATGGCACTAATCCAGATGAGGTGGAACCTGAAGGTTTTTGCGTTGATCTTTTCAAAAAGGCAAGAGAGGTTTTGGGATATGATCTGCCTTATAAGTTTATTGCTCATTTTGGGACTTACAATGATATGGTTCTTCGTGTACATAACAAGGTAATGACTGAATCTCTTCTATTAATTGAAACTCTTAGGTGATGGTGCACAGCACTCTATAAACAATCGCTTCATCTTAATCCATTAAAATCACTATAGTTACATTAAATTTGTTTTACCCGGCCCTTCAGATGGAGACAATGAGCCCGAACATTGCATGAAAAAGAAAATGATTTTTCTGGATTTAAGATCCTAGTTTAATTCTCATTATTGAAATTTCTTTCTGATCAAAATTCTTGCTTGACTTCTGCACCAAATTAATGGAAGACTTTTGATGCTGTTGTCGGTGATGTAACCATACTAGCCAACAGAGCAGAACTCGTGGAATTTACTCAGCCGTACGCAGAATCAGGGTTGTCCATGATAGTACCAGCAAGGTCTGAAGAATCAGCATGGATGTTCATGAAGCCTTTTACATGGAAGATGTGGATGGCGACTGGTGGCATATTGATCTATACAATGTTCATAGTTTGGTTTTTGGAGCATCAATCCAATCCGGAATTTGAAGGCACATGGAGGAATCAAATCGGCACTGCAATGCGGTTCACCTGCTCTTCTCTCTTCTTCGTGTACAGTAAGTATCTAATCACACCCCTAATGGATTGCAATAACATTTTCTATTGTACCTAATACAACCAATTCTGAAAGTATAAACAATTAGTCTAGCCAGCCCTCTCATGATTGCTGCTGCATTTTGAGTTCGTCAGAAGTATGAATAATGATTCCCCTGAGCCCTCAAATTTTCATGAATTTTGAAGTCAAATCTAATTGTTTGAAAAAGTTCATTTGATCTCAATGATGAGTAGTATGCAAAAAAACTCACACATGGAAATATTGAATCTTAGATCTTGCTATCATGGTACCATTAACTATTCCATCTCCCACTACCTTCTGTCCTGATGAGATTAGTGTTCACATTATATGGATATATTTCTGAGAATTCTAGAATCTAGACTGCATTTGGAAGGAAAATAAAATTGCTTTATTGGCAAGATAAAAATAAACATACTCACAAGTTATTAATGCTTTGAGCTTTGATTTTTGTAGGGGAGAATATACAGAACAACTTCACAAGAGTCGTGGTTGTTTTATGGCTCTTTCTTTCTCTTGTCTTAACCTCAAGTTACACGGCTAGTCTGTCTTCAATGCTGACAGTCAACAAACTGCAGCCAAATGTTACTGACATTGAATTTCTGAAGAGGAACAACTTAAAAGTGGGTTGTAATGAAGGTTCGTTTGTAAAAAACTATCTGGTTAATGTGCTTCATTTCAAATCAGAGAACATCAAGACAGTTGGCAGTGAATACAGTTATGCAGGAGAATTAGAAGGGAATCAGATAGCTGCTGCTTTCCTTGAACTTCCATACGAGAAGGTTTTCCTCAACACCTACTGTAAGAAATTTTCTGGCACCACAGCAACATACAGATTTGGAGGATTGGGCTTTGTAAGTAGTATATACAAGTCTTTCCTTTAATTTCTGCATTTCAACCTCAATAAAACTTACCTCCAATGTATGCAGGTATTCCAGAAAGGCTCTCCTATCGCCATGGACTTCTCAGAAGCCATTCTCACTCTGTCAGAGAATGGAATGCTGAAAGAATTGGAAGATGAGTGGCTTTCACCCTCTCCTGAGTGTTCAACAGATGTAACTGACAACAGAACGGAAAGACTGAGGCTTCATAGCTTCTGGGGTCTCTACCTAATCTCTGGTGTCACATCTACCATTTGTTTCTTCCCATTCATAATCAGGTTAATGAAGAATTATTGGCTCCAGCAATAAAAATACTGAAGCAATACTAGTCCAAGAAATAATAGTACCTGGAATAAGGCAGTTAGGCTTGCAAGATTTATATATCAAGGACAAGAAATTAATCTTACGAGAGCCCCAACTTTACCTCGATCGCCATATGTAGTTGGAAGGGGCTCCACAAGATGGAAATACTCAAGTCCTGACACAGCAGAGAATCGTGAGGAAGCCTCCTCTGAAGGTGAAGTTGAAATGCTGTACATTCCAGGTGATTAAGACGAAAGAAGAGGAGAAAAGGCTTAGGCTCAGATCAAGACTTCTTCCAACTATTGGATGTTATCTGGCTGTAACGCAATTTCATTTGTTTTATTCAATTATAAAGTATATGGACTAGTCATAACTCTTTGTTGTACTAACAAAAAAAAAATCATTCTTTTTATTTGTTAATAGCTTCCCTATATCTCTCAAGATTATTTTTAACGAAAGGAAATTTCATTTTTTTATTTAACAAACTCATTCTTTATTTCTAAAGCCTTTGCTTGGGTTTTAAGCCATTTATTTGAAGCTGTGTGAACCTCTCAAGAGAAGGAAGCATGTTCAGGGATCTAAGTACTACTTGAAAAATCTGACACAAGGTTAAAGAGAAAATTATTACTATAACAAAACGTAACAAGTTTTCGTCAATGGTTTAGGACAAACAAACAAGTGTATTAAGTTATCTTCGGTGGTGACTCAAGGTAGATAAATAGGTTGGATTTTCCTAAATTGAATGTAATGATTCTTTGGTCGTAGTTCTCACGTTCTCATTTTTGTTGTGTATTCGTGCTTTAAGATAGACTTAAAGGCCGAGCCTTGACCTGTTACGGCGTCAACTATTGGACCATGAATTATTTTATCAGTGTTCCATCTTTCTGTTAACAGGAAAACCAGTGGTCCTAGACTCATAGTTGACTTTTTCTTGCGGACCAAGTCCAAGATTAGGCCAAAAAATTTTCGCCCGGAGCTTTTACAGGTCCGGCTTTTGAACAGTCTCAAGGCTTCGAGAGTTCAGACGGTCTTAACATATATCATACCCAATTAAGAAGCCTTTTCTTTCATTAGTTGCGATTTCATATACATTTTACGTGTTCTTTAGCAATATGAACAAGACTTTTTGCTCTGATATCAAAGCCCAAAAACCTCGCTGTATCATTTTTGCGAATAGAGTTTTGAAGCTTTGGCTTTTCCTTTTTGTGTTCATCTCTCTCCTTCTCATTTTCTCCTATGGAGAAGAGACCACGAAGGACGACAAAGTTACTAATATCGGTGCAATCATCGATGTTGATTCGCGTATCGGAAGAGAAGAGAAAACAGCTTTGGAAATTGCTGTTCAAAGTTTCAACGACAATGATTCAAACAATCGCAAACTCTCCCTCCATATTCAGGACTCTCGAAGAGATCCCCTCCTAGCTGCTACTGCTGGTTAGTCATCTTTTTATCTCGATTCTGCTTCCCTTGTGTTAGTCGGAATCATCATATATTAATGGGGTATTTACTAATAGCAGTATACTAAATTTGATTGCAGCTCAGAAGTTGATTAAAGAAAAAGAAGTTAAAGTGATCATTGGCATGGAGACATGGGAAGAAGCAGCTCTGGTTGCTGACATCGGAAGCCGTGCTCAAGTTCCAGTTCTTTCTTTTGCAGCGCCAGCCATCACACCACCATTAGCAGCCTCTCGCTGGCCATTCTTGGTAAGAATGGCTAGCGGTGATTCTGAACAAATGAAATGTATTGCAGCTATCATTAGTTCATTCAACTGGAAAAGGGTTATAGTAATTTATGAAGACGATGCCTTTGGTGGTGATTCTGGGAAGTCAGGTCTTTTATCTAAGGCTCTTCAAGATGTCGGTTCACAGATTGACTACCGATTGGTTCTTCCACCATATTCTTCTCTGTCTAATCCAAAAAAAGTTGTGCAAGAGGGGTTGATGAAGCTACTGAACATACAATCTCGGGTTTTTATTGTTCTTCAGTCATCCTTATCAATGACAATACTTTTGTTTGAAAATGCTAAGAAGATGGGACTTGTAGGAAGACACTCAGCTTGGATAGTTACAGATACCATCTCGAGTTACCTCGACTCGTTTAACGGTTCTGTGATTTCCCCTATGGAAGGTACTTTAGGAATCAAGACCTACTATTCTGAGGATAGTAGTCTTTATAAAAACTTTTATCCCCAGTTCCGGAAAACTTTCAGAAATGAATATCCAGAGGAAGATAACTTTCAACCAGGTATTAACGCCTTACGGGCATATGATAGCATTGGAATCATCACACAGGCCATGGAGAGAAGGAAAAGTGATGACAACAGTCCTCAAACATTGTTGAAAAATATTTTGTCAAGCAATTATACTGGTTTAAGTGGTGAAATTCGTTTTGAAGAACGGAAGCCGTCACATGATCCTATACTAAGGATTGTAAACGTGGTTGGAAAAAAATATAAAGAGTTGGACTTCTGGTTGCCAGGGATAGGGTTGGCAAAGAACCATGAACAGAACAATGAAACTGGTTATCTTGGTGACATATCTGTAGACTTGGCTGGTAGAGTCACTTGGCCTGCTGACCTAAAGCTAGTTCCAAAGGGATGGGCAATGCCAACAAATATGAAGCCAATGCTTATTGGAGTCCCGGCTAGAACCTCATTTGAGAAATTTGTAAAGGTTGAAGATGGTAAGTATCCAGGCGAGAAGCATTATGATGGTTTCTGCATTAAACTTTTCTATGAAATTCTTCGGGTTCTGGAGTATGCTCTACCCTATAAATTTGATCCCCACAATGGCACATATGATGAACTTGTTCACAAAGTCTACAACAAGGTATTATCCCTTTCTCTCTCAATTGATTATTTATCAATGTTTTTGTTAAGAATCTTGATTCTTGTGATGAATAACCTATGCGGAAAGAAAAGCTTCATATAATTTGCCCATACTTCCAAGCTGTCTCATACTTCAGATTTTAACCCCCGCCCAGCTTTTCTGATAGTTACAAGAGTTAATGGCATATCTTTTCTATGGTCGGTATCTTTCTGATATCTAATCTTTATAATAAAACAGCCATTAATTTGATGTTAACCTGTTGTATTAAACAATTTCTGAATTAATGAATAATTAGAAATTTCATTCATGGAACTGTGAAAGCAAGCCCCTCTAACGAAAGCCAATAATGTCAGTATCACCGCGTTTGGAAAGGAAAAAAAAAATCAAGGCAAAGATTATTCAGTTAGAGCTGACCTCCTACATTGGATACAATACCCTGAAACTTCTTATTCTCATTTTAAATTCCTTATCTGTTTTTCGTTAAATTATTTATAATTCAATTATGCTTCTAAAAAAATGGTCTACTTCTATGAAACTTCATAGATAAGTTGTCTGCTTTTGACTTAATCCTCTAGACAATTCGACAGTGATATGAAGGAAACAAATGACGATTACCGAGAAGACCAAATGATTTCTGGATTCTTGTTTTGTTTTTTTATTTCTATAATTTTGTCTTGATAAGATGGTTTTTTGTTTGTTTGTCCTGTGTACCGAAATCAATGGAAGACTTACGATGCAGCGGTTGGGGACATAACTATACTAGCTACAAGAACAAAGTACGTAGAATTCACTCAGCCATATGCAGAGTCGGGGCTGTCCATGATCGTACCAGCGAAGCCCGAGGGCTCAGCATGGATTTTCCTGAAGCCTTTCACCACGGGAATGTGGTTGGTGACTGGTTGCATCTTAATCTACACAATGCTCATAGTTTGGTTCTTGGAGCACCAGTCCAACCCTGAATTCCGAGGTCCGTGGAACAATCAGCTTGGCACGGCACTTTGGTTCACGTTCTCCTCCCTTTTCTTTGCTCACAGTAAGTTTCAATGTCAAACCAAGAACACTCTTTCTTTCCAAACTTTTCTGAACATAAATGAACGACTGACAGTCTGACGTAGACATGCATTAAAATCCAATCTCAAATCTGTAAGACAAGGCGTAATTTGTTTGCTGTCAAAAACAGCACATTGATGTGTGGAAAGATCTTCTCCAATCGATAGGTGACAGAAAAAATATGGCATTAAATTCAAAACCAAATTTCCATTGTTTCTGGGTGAAATTAAGCTTTTTTATTTGGGAGGCTAAAACCATTCAGTATTTCCATTGTGTTGTTTGACTCTTGCAGGGGAGAAAATTAACAGTAACCTCACTCGTGTGGTGGTTGTAATATGGCTCTTTGTTGTGCTGATCTTAAACTCAAGCTACACTGCTAGCCTAACTTCAATGCTCACCGTGCAGCGATTGGTACCAAATATTACAGATATTGAATCGCTAAAGAGGGCCAACATGAAAATAGGCTGTGATGGTGATTCATTTGTAAGGACCTACTTGGAGGAGGTCCTTGAGTTTAAAAGTAATAATATCCAGAATGTCAGCAGTGAATACAGTTATGAAGGGGAATTCCAGAGCAGTCACATAGCTGCCGCCTTTCTTGAACTCCCGTATGGGAAAGTTTTCCTCAGTGAATACTGCAAGCGATTTACCACCACCACACCTACGTTCAGATTTGGTGGATTAGGCTTCGTAAGTATATTACTAGTACTAATTAATGCATAATCTTAAATTTTCTATCAGGAATTACTATAGGAGAAGCTGAAAAAGAAAGAACAATAGTTTTCCTGGAAAGAATCTCTATACCTCTACTTTTGGTGCACTTGGTAATACTACTGAACTCTGAAGGAGCCTATATAAGCATATTTGCTTAGAAACTTGAACTCCACCAGGCTTGGTACAGACTAAAAGAAACAATATATATAGTTTCTTACTCCGAATCTACCTATGAACTCATTCAATATTTTTCTTCTTTCCTGAATTTACATTCTTTAGTATTGCTATTTTACCAACATATCTTTTCTACAAAATTGACAAAAGGAATAACTTCTATAACTTCTATGCAGGTATTTCAGAAAGGTTCTCCGATCGCCGCTGATTTTTCAAAAGCCATTTTAAAGTTATCTGAAGATGGAACTCTGAAGATATTGGAGGAAAACTGGTTTGCTCCTTCACCAGAGTGTTCAGCCAATGTAACCGATGACAGTAGAACAGACAGCTTGAGCCTCCACAGTTTCTGGGGTCTTTACCTTATGTCTGGGGCCACATCCACCTTTTGTTTTCTACTCTTCCTCACTCACTTACTAAAGAAATATTGCAGCCAAGAGGATCATGCCGGCAACTTATCTCTAGTCGATGAGAGTCTCTGGATTAAGGCAATTAGAGTCGCCAGATATCTTTATCATGGAGAGGTTTGTATTCAAGGGGAAGCTTCACCGGCTCCTCTAGCACCAGATATCAACAAATGGAACTCTCAAAGGTGGGATTATGAGAGTCCAACTGACACGAACACGGAGAATCTCGACGTGACATCACAAGAACAAGCTGAGATTGAAATGATGTAGGATTCTTGGATTCCAAGCTCTATATCTTAAATGGCAAAGAATCTTTGACTGAGATTTATTGATAACTATCCTCTGTTCATGTTCAATCCAGTTGTAATGTAAATGTATACCGCGCCTCAATCTCTCTCTTGGAAGATTTATATTAACTTACCATTGGTGGGTATTGTGGATGAAAATACTTTGGCAGCCATCTCTACTTCACACTGAACAAATTAGAATGTAACTATTTTCAGCTTAAAATTTTACAGGAATTAGTCTTCTTTTCCTTTTGATTATTATTCTAATGCTCTAGTCGATGCTTAAACGGAATGAAAACAGAAATCGACATTGACACGGAATGATGGATATTTTAATTTTGTTTAATCAGTTTAGTCTCCGAATCCAGAAATCAATTGCTGATGAAGGAACCGCTTGGTAACCGGATTAAGACTAGGAATATAATCAACGAAAAAGGGAGGAAGAAACAATGGAAAGCCGTGTGCCTTGGAAAGTCAGCAAACACTGTGGCAGACTAAAGACTTCTAAATCAATCAAAGGAAATACATTTATACGTCAAACACCCAAACTTTCTCACGCG